GCTTTCAACCGGTCCATTGTAATCTTCGTCGCTCGTAATTGATCCGATAATTACTCGGTTCTACACGGCAAACAATCAAGGTAGTATCCAGATCGATCGCGCGGAAATTTGGTTTTCTGTGCTCGTTATAGCGCGACACGAGAGCTGTTTTTTCCACGACCATACGATTTTTAATTTTTTTATAAAATTTGCCGAGGGTGTCGGGTTGGCGCGTCCGCAACAAACGGCGCGCGCGATTACGCTGGGAAAAAAAAGTGAGAATATAATTGGCTTCGTTTCTGGTAATGAGCGTTTGATACCATCGGGATAAATTTTGCGTTTCGCTTTCGTGTCCCCGGCGTGGCGCGGCGCGCGATCGTCCAGAGATGTGTATCGGTCGCTTCAGGAAATATCGCCCGACGCGACTCCCAGCGAGATATGAAAAATGCGAAACGGCTCCCGAGCCGACGCGAATCCTTTTACAGTTGACGCTTTTCCGATGACGTCGCTGATAACGCCTATGTTGACGATAATACCGGAAATGGCATCTCTCGGGGTCGATCCCGTTGTCGCCGTTGCCACCGCCACCACCGCCACGACCGGCCAATCCACGCTCGCGAAAAAGTCCGCATTTTCATAAATTTCTTTCTTTTTTCCTCTCCTCCTCCCCCCGCCCCCGCCATCCGCGAGTTCTCGATGGCGTGTACGTACGGCGCGAAACTGGCGCGAAATTATGGAACGCGATGGGCGTTGTTCGTACAATAAGCGTGAAAAAAAGCAATAAATTCGGAAAATGTTTTAACCCAATTAGATAAGTTAATGGCGCGTTTTATCGCGAGAGAGGCGCTTTTGCCGAGAGATAAATGCGCGCGCACGCCACATGGATACGTGAAATTATAAAGATTATCCGTGCGTATATTACGTTTAGGCGACTTCTCGTTGAAACGCGATTTGGGTATTAGCGGAATAACCGGCGCGCAGGTTGCCTAAGCGGCGCAAATACACACCTCCCCACCCCCACCCCGCCGAGCGGGGCACCAACGTGCACTTAGTGAAATGAGGATTAATAATTTCCGCAGTCCATACTACGAATACCGTCGCTCGTGCGCCGCGACGGTACTCGCGACGATGTCTCTCGCGAAAAAATTCGTCGCGGGAAAATAGCCGAGTGAATCGGTGTCAGCTACACTTTTCCCCGATTAAACTTATTATTTAATTTCATTCACGAGCCCTGTCCGTAGTTATCTCATTTGCAAAAGACGATACTCCGAGAATTATTACGACGAGCACCGCGCGAGTACCGCGCGATGATTTCTATAAATACGCCGAGTAGATATACCTTGGAGGAATTTGTTAACGTCATTCATCGAGCGAATTAGTTATATTCCGAGTTTCCTACCGATGGCGTTCTGCAAAACGTGTGTTTCGCAGATTCAGCGAGCGTTAAATAAACTAGATGATGTTTCCATAATTTCCAAACTGACGCGGCGCGGGAGCGTGATCGATTATATATCGTTGAAAAGCAATTATCAGAGTGCGAGCGATCAACTTCTCATTTACTCGACATCAGGGTGTTGCGCGGGGCGTAAAAAAAAAAAGAACCCCGAACCGGAGTGACGAGATTGGACAGTATATACGAGGTGCTATGCACGTATACGAATCGAGAGTTTTTTCGCTGCGGATTAGAGAGCGCGTTGCGCGTTGCCACCTCCGGAAAAAAAAGCGTGGTGGGGAGGGAGAGAGGGGAGGAGAGAGAAACGGTGCGGTCGAATTCAATAAATCTTGCTCGTCGATAGTTTCGATAAATGGTTTTGATACGGAACACGGCGGGCTCCATCCGTAATCCGCTATAACGTACCTGGTTTTCGGCTTGTGACATAAATGTCGCCGAGTCTCTTCGGGCACAAAATAGAATATAGGACGGCACGAATTCCTTCTAACGACGCGAGTACGTGAGATCTATTTCTCTTTCTATATATCTTTCTCAGCTCTTTTGCCCTCTTTCCGCGAAAATCTTTGCACAAGCGGCTGCATCTTATGTCGTCTATCTTGTATTATCTTAACGCGTTAAGTTCCTTAAAGGCGAGCGTTTCTTAACGATTTCAAATATTTTTTAATCCTCCGTGTTTCCTCCGTGTTTCCTCCGTCGATTAAATAATGATATATATTTTCCGCGGAGGTAAAAAGAATGATAAAATGTTTCTAAAACTCGTGATTTTATCGAATATTCACAGGTATTTGATATTTTAATATTGTGAACTGCGGAAGCAATAAAATAAGAAGTTACAAAATATATTACTTTTCATCGGGATGTGTTTAAAGTTGATAGATCGAAAAAGTGAAATCGATAGAGAGCCATCACTTTTGGTCACCGCTGCATTGTGGATGACAAACGTAATGAAAAATGGTAATCTTTACCCGAACACACCGTCGCAATATCTCTTTGGCATTCGAGCGCGACGTACGGCCTCGTAAAAAAAAAGAAAAAAAAAAAAGTGAACGTAACGTAACATTTTCACGTGTGTGCATATCATTCCATTTATCCGCGTCTATTTCCGGCGTTTCGAGTCGGCGCTCCATTCGCAAGTAGTCGCTGGATTAATCCTCTCGATGGAATCGCGGTGATGCGATCAATCGCATCAGCATTTTTCATAATTTTCCCGGTGGCGGAGTCGAGCCGCACCGCTAGCTCGCTCCCCCTCGTCGAGAAACACAACGATAAAATACAACGTAAAATACAACGGGAAACTTGATAGAGAAATTTTGCCGCTAATATGCGGCTCTTCGCGGGCGAATGCAATATCGCGGGCGAAGTACTTAATGGATCTCTCGCGCGAAAGAAACTGGGCTAAAAGAGATGCTTTCCTCCTCGTGGAAGATGTCTAAAGGTGCGCACACAACGAAGCGCCGGTTAATATGCGGAAATACAAATAGCCCCCGCATGGTATACAGATGTTGCTCTTAACTGGGGCGGAACAAGATAATGGACGAAGTGTTAATTTGGATGTTCGCGAGAGGACGGATCGATTCGCGGCTACGAGTGTGAAGTGTGTGCTCGATTGAGTACGAATGATAATAAATTCGAGTGACGTCAACGATTTCAAATTGTTCCAAATGATTTTGACACAGGCGTACACATACACGGATTGGGAAGGGGGAGGAGGAGAGAATAATTTCCAATTCAATTATCGGAAGTTTCACCGGGGGATTCCCTCAATCGAGGAGTTATATGCGTATAATGATACTTATTATAAGCGTTGTATTTTAAGCAGCTTGAGCGACAATTGTTATCAGGTTTCCCGGAGAAACATAATCTTAATCTCGCCGCCATGAATAATCATTAACGTCAAATCAATTAGATTGTTAAACGTCACAGGTTTCGCGGATCAACATTCACACGGGAAACAACCAAATAAAAAAAAAGAGAAAGAAAGAGCGAGGAAGAAGGCAATACTCGATGCACTCGAATACAATGTTGGAAAAAAAATCAGTGCAAGCGATTTATAGCCCAAGATCCCGCTTATTCTGTCGCGTGTTATTTATTTTGTCGTTTCACCATATTCCGCGGTGACGGGTTTCGAGCGCGTGAACGTTTGCGAGCCCGGCTGAATTTTATGCAATTCCGACGGTATCGCTTTTACGGCGGCACAAATTTACTTAAAATTCGGGACAGAGCCCGCATTAAGTGCGGATAAACCGCAATGTGGCTGGGGCCACGCAAGCTGCAGGAATGACAGCGCTTCGTCGCCGTCACGTATTGCGGTTGGAAAGAGCATTAACAAAAGAGTGTGACAGGGAATATTTTCGTCGGTACTCAAAAATACCGGCGACGAGTGTTTGACGAAACGAAAACGCTTTATTGACCCGCTTTCCTCCCGCTTCGCGCGTCCGCCCTTCTTTTTTCGCCGCAAACAAAATTATTATCCTGTCGTTATTATATTATAGTAATGATCTTGTTTAAAATTTATAGACGAATATCTTTTTCTCAACCCGCGACAGTTGCTAACAACAGTCTTTGTGAATAATTTTGCATACCTGAAACCTGTATTTTCTTTTACGCGCCTTTCGCTCCGTCTTTGTGCATTAACTTAAAGAGACTCTAATGCCGCATTAGCAATGCCTACTTTGCGTAACTTATGAATAGTTCTGAGATAGCGTTCCAAGTTGCTTTCTTCGCTCTTCGGTGTTGGTGAAGTAGACATTGTTGTGAATGATGCATAAAGATCGTTGCAGCTTGGTTCTGTCTCGAGATATATAATTTCTAATTCAGTTAGCATTCGGCACTTGGAAATTTAGTTAAGATTGTTCCATCGCAAGTTACAAAATTTTCCTCGTGAAATATTATTTCGCTTCCATTACATCGTTTTACGTGTAGACGAGAGTCCTCGTGATTGTGTGAAAGTTAACTCTCGCAAAAATGCGTATCGAGAGAACACTTGATATTTTAAATCGCGTGTAAAATATAAAACGAGCGCCGAGGAGAAAAATTATTTTATTGGCCAAAGTAGATGTGATAGAGAGATACGGGCTGAAATAATCATTAAGCGGATTATATCATTTAACAAAAGAGCAATGTTCATCTTAGATATTATAAATTCAACGTTTTATTCATATTTTATTAAATTTCATTTTTATCAGAACGTGCGCTATTTTCCCCGACTCCACTGAAGTATTCAGCGTATCGGTTATTCGAACTCATTTATAAGGGAGCTGTATAAAGATAATAATTTATGCGTGAATTTTCAGTATCGGAATTGTGTCGGTATTATCAGATGTATATTAGTTGCATTAATGAAACAATGGCGCCGTTTTATTCTGAATCGTGAATACTGTGGTACGATAAGGAAAGCTCACCCGTTCGTCTCGCTGTTAAAATCCTCGCCGTGCACGTGAAATGACGTCACGCTTAACGCGTTATCCTTAAACTTGAACGAGGCTCTTGGCGATTATCCGCGCCCTATCGGGCGCAATATCCTAAATGGGGCGATACCGTCATTCCCCGTTTCTTCTTTATGTTACAGCGTCTGCAACGAGATTGAGGCACTCGAGACACCTGGACGTGAGATCGCAGTTCCTGGGTGAGGGTGAATTACTGGTGAGTGCTTCTCAATTCGTTCTTGATTCGATTTCTCGTCCTCCTTCCACCGTTTCGTTTCCCCCGTGCCATTTACACTCCCTTCTGTCTCAGACATCAAGCTCGGTTCCTTTTACCACTCATGATTCCAGGGATGATCTATCCAGAACCCCCGTATAAACCGTCTTTCTAGTAACCCCGATAATGGATTTGTCTCTTTCTTCATCGTCTATCCGCCAAACTGTTTAAATATTTACTGCGCGCGTCGGCAGCCTTCTCTACGTGACATCAGCGAATGGGTCTGAATTTATTCATTGGGTATGTGTGGAGTGTACGAAAAGTCACGACCGAGGCAGCAAGTTTAAATGTAATGTTTTACCTTAAAACAATATCTTAATTGTAAAAATTATATTACAAACAATTATGTTTATCGTTTAATATCTCAAATTGCTTTCATAAATTTGGAAATAAATGACGTAAATATTGGTTTTTGTGAAAATTTAAATTTGATATAAATGATATGAATGAAAATTGATATGAATTGAGAAATAGATTTTTTGCGGTATCTACAATAATTAAAGCATATATAATTATTCATAATATTTGCAAAAATATAATTTTTCAATATAATTTTTTATTTTTCTTTAGATTCTTCTCGAATATTGAATTAATTGATTAATTGAACTGAACTGTATGTCTTTTTATGTTTGATATAAAATTTACTAATGGTCAATTCAATGACCAACAATAAAGTAATCTTTGATAATCGAATCATGATTAATGCAAAAAATACAGATAATTTAATTTTTGGAGCTTCTCAAATGCGACTGATATTATGTACCAGAATTTTTACTCGATAAATCTTTCTATGATGAAAAGACATACATGATTAAGTAACTAACTCGTGCTTAATTCAGGTAGATTTTTCCTTTATCATATGTTTCATATGTAACATCTTAAAAAAGAAAAGACATTTATAATCTAATGATTCTTGATCCAAAAACTTTATATATTGCCAATCGAATATCATGATTTTCAAGTATTACCGATTCGTACTGACTTAATCTTTGTTTAAATCCAGAATTCGATTGTCACATAATTTGATTCTGCTTCAAATTAATCATATTTTCTCTTAAGTCAAAAGTGAAAAGATGTTATCCTCTTAATAATAGATAATTGATCAGTATTCCGGAATAAGCTTCTTTTCGGAACTCTCTTTAGAAATCCCAAAGATACGAAATAACAGATCAAACTTAATTCTTCATTTAGTAAACACATTTCCCAGTTCTGTTGAAAGATTATCTACGAAAATGAGTGCTCTTCATCCGGGCGTTTTTTTATTCATAATGAAGACGTGAGATCACGACAACGAAATGACTTGACATTTCCGGTCTGACGTTGAGATGAGACGTTTGAGATTTGTGGGCGCGACGCGCTCCGTGCGATCGTCGTTGCATAAATAATTTGCCGCGAAGATCAGTCACGATTCGATGATGAATAGCTGCGACACGCGGTGAGACACTACGGTGAGAAGTGTGAGTGCTCGGTTGGCGAGCCCCCTGAGACTTGCTTACGAATCGCTCGTAAATCGTTGACGTTACGCTAAAGTTCTACGTAGGATATTTAGGGAGGGGGGGGAGGGACGCGAATTTGCGGACGAAGAACGATAGGGGCCATTTCATGCGCGCGATTCATTAGATAGGACTTCGACAAATGGTACAATCTGACGAGAATTGCCGTTTTGCCAAATCCGTAATTGGACGCTGAAGTTGTTTGAGATCTAATCTCGTGAATCCCAGGTAGACATGGCAGAGAAGTTCCCTATAATTCAGATATGACCTGTGTAGACTTCACGTGGACGAGATGTTACTTAGACTTTCAACGTTTTAATAATTAATTACCTCTTCGTGACCGAGCCGCGAAGGATATAATGTATATTTGCAACTTTGTTAATTAATTAAATATTATTTTCACCTCATTAAATATTGTCGACATTATAGAACAAATTTTTAATTATTTATTATACGCCTAAAGCAGAAAACGGGAGAAAAATATGATCACGCAATTTATATTAATAATTTATATTAATAATACATTTTTATTCAAATCATGTATAATAATTAACTTTGTATAATGAAAATTTATTTAAATTTATTTACATTTAGAACGACATTACGTACCCTCTTTACTCATTTATAAGAGCTTAATTGATCACGATTTTTTAGTTTCAGATAAGATATATCTCGTCACCTTATTTCTAATTAAATTTTTTTTCCGAGGAAAAGTCAAACACAAAGAATAATACTTAAAAAAATAACAAGAATTCACTACACCGCAGTGTAGTGGCCTTTTTGATGACCGAATATAATGAGACATAATTTTTTTCACATTGACATTACATTAATGGAGCAAGATTTAACTTCAATTTCTCTACAAAATTTTCCTGCGCTTTCCTTTCCTCACGTTGCGAATCAGAGATGATGATCGCGGTGAAACCCGTCGGTCTTTTGCGCATATTAAACGTTTCGCAAAAACATCGCGAGCAATTCGCAACACACGAAAGCTTTCTCGTTTTCAATATTAAATTAACAGTCGTGTTATATCTCGTGACTGTGAACCGGTAGCTTAAAATTTGGTACAAAGTGCCTCGAGGGAGCAATAGTCGTTCATTCGAAATGTGCGCGTAAAGATGTCAGTTTCCTCGCTCGATTTACGCCACCGCTGTGAATTCGTTCAAGTATCATGTTAACGCCGACGTTAAGCAGAACGCCGGTAATTAACGCAACCGTGTATTTCGTCTTACTGTCTCGTCATCCCGACGAAGCAATTTTAACGACATGATGCTCGTGACGACCTATACTCTCGTTTCTGCTCTGAGGGCTTTTATTCTCGCTATTACGACATGCTTACAGCGATGGAAGCAATTACAAGGTATCTACTACTTGGAAAAACCTGAGAAACTTGGGATGCTCAGAGAATCCTTTCTGTGCCTTGAAAAATCAGGGAACTCTCGAAGAATTTTTATCGAGACCTAGAATACTCGAAAGTGTCTCTTCGTAACGTTTTTTTTTTCGTTATTTTACAAGTGCAAGAGTTATTTTTAATGTTATAACATTATGTAAATTTTAATTTATTTTAAAAATTTCTCCTCCGACATTTTAGACGTTGATATTTTCTTTTACGCTTATGATAAATTCTATTTTTTTGTATTTTTTGCAACTAAAAGGATGAAAATGCAAAATATATTTCTCAAGCAGAAATTTTTTTATTTTGAATTTGCGTTTATAAATGTTCTGATTTTAACGTCTTTAAACGTTCGTTACAACGTTAAAACATGATGATAGAAGATCAGAAATTTTTTTCTTCAAGCAAACACCCCGAGCTATGAATTCTAATTGATGAAATTTTCTTTCGGCCAAGTCGGCAGGAATCAGCCGCGGATATAGCATAACGGGATTATATATGCTAAAACGCGGCTAACTTGTTTATCATTAATGAGGCTGGAAAGTACGAGAGCGCGAGCGCCGGTACTATATATCGGAGGTAACGCATGACGTCGGCGAAGTGCTGTGCGAAATTCTAAGCGGTCTGAGGGGTTGGTTGCTAGATGCCGAGGCGTGTCCCGCCGTGTGAGCAAACACGGCGAGCACATGCGGATTATATTTCTTACCAAATGTTGTTTACCCGGGAATATCGTTATCCCGTGAGACAGAAAATAGTAATGAATATTAATGCCACGACCATTTAATTACATTGAAGATAAGCGGTCTAACGTCTGTGAGCGCACTCGGGGAGAGCGAGGGAGGACTTAGCGTTATTACGAGCGTCACCTCTGCGTTTTTTTCGGCACGGGCGGGGCGTGCCGTGGTGTGGCATCGCGGATGGACGCAAAACTGATTTCTCGGCGGCGGCGTACACTCGTAAATTTTTTACACGTCGTTGTCGGTCGTTATCCGCGATGCGATACACGTCGTTCCTCCTACAGTTCGAGACTTAAACGCTCGGTCGGTCGGTCGGTCGGTCGATCGTGCACATTACGTACGTTAAACGCCACCGGATCGATCCTAATCGCGATGAAATGGTAACGCACGGGACTTACGAGGGCGGCCGCGGCCAATAATTTATGAGAAAATGACTCTTACCGAGACGCAACACAGAGACCGCGTGACATAGTGCAAAGCTGCGGGACTCGCGACTCAGCCTTGCCACGTGTTCCAGATCGTCGACGTGAACGATTATTACGGAGGCGTCCGAGCGCGCGATGCCCCATTTTTTCCGCACCCCCTCCTCCCCCGCCTCCCCCTCTTTTACCGCGCGTTTCTTTCCTCTCTCCCTCTTTGGACTGTTGGATCTTTTATGAGGGAAAACGCGACATAATAGACCGTCGGAGTCCGCGCTGTGATTAATGGCGCTTGGTTTATGAGGAGAGCTTTGATTTATCGAGCGCCTTGTTCTCCAAAGTCTTCCCCCTCAGCACTCCCCCCCCCTCCCTCCCTCCGTCCCCTCTCTCCTTGCCAGGTTTACCGATTAATCCCCCGGACGTCTTTCGTAGGGATGCCCCGCGCCGAGCGTAACAACCCCTAATAGCCCATCCGTTTCTCTTGTGCTTTCAGGACGATGAAAATCACAACCACAAGCCGGTGTTCTCCGATTGCTCGAATTACGCGCCAACGGTGAAGGAAGAGGAACCGATTGGCACTGTGGTGTTCCAAGTGCATGCCGAGGATAGAGATCCACCGGAGGAAGGAGGTATTGTATAGCAGCGTGATATCAACACGCGTATACGTCGCGTAAAACGTCGCGATAAATTATGCACGTAATAAAAAAAGGAAAGATATATGGGCGAGCCGCTTTTTATGAACCCCCAAAGTTTTCCGACTTGACCCCGACTTGAAACAAACGGGGGAAAGTTCGAGAGAGAGAGAGAGAGAGAGAGAGAGAGAGAGAGAGAGAGAGAGAGAGAGAGAGAGAGAGAGAGAGAAGAGAGAGAGAGAGAG